GAGTAGAAACAGGCAACCTCCTTAAAGCGCGGGAAAACGCGAGTGACCAAGTCGCAGTTGGTTTTAGTTTTACATTTGATTGGTTAAGATTGTGAGGCGAGTTTCCTGGACCAATCACATAACGAAGTAAAGCAAAACCAAAGCAATCCAGCATCACTTTTGATACTCAGCTGGAAACTGCTCCAATAAAAGATATATAACAAAATGCCAAAGATAACTCAAAGAAAAGCCTGAAGTGCTGGAAATATGCGATGGCCCTACTACACACTCGATCTTGATGAGGCTCGTACCTGATTGCTCAAGAGGGCGGCATAGGCTCGCTAAACCAATAACAGACTACAGTCAAGCTAAACCAATGCCCATGACTATATCCATGACTATTTTCGACACTCAATTGAAAGTTTCTTTCATAGTTTACAATATTACCTCACAAAGACTAGTTTTAAAAGAATTCTGAACATGTCTAATAATCAAGTCTCTTTATACTGACGCCGCATTGCGCTACTTGTTAGGTCTGATCTGTAGAGTTATTTTCTGTTGTTTATCCAGCCATTCTCGTTGCCTCTGATATGCAAAATACAGGACATGTCACAGAAATGAAAAAAAAATTGTTTACATGTGAATAAGAATTGAGTCATTGAGTAAGTTTATAGAGCAGTTCACTGATAAGAGCACAAAAATATGCATGTTAAACTTGTAGAGAATGCATCTAGACCTGACACAGACTGGTCTTGACAGACAAGCAAATACATCTCAAGTACAGTGTTTAAAATCCACCCCTATTCTAGGATGTCACAATCTGTCAAAACATGACCCTTAAATAATGTGAGAAAGTCTTATAGAATACAATTCACCTTAACTTTCACTAACTGCGCAAGCAAAATTGAAGTGGAGAGAAAAAAAAAGCCTTAAATGACTTGTGATGAACTACAAGATTCTCCTTCCACATTGTTTTGTATTACCTCACAAAAAAGAAAGAAGAAGTTGGTGTTCCATAAAAAAATAACCTTAAGGCTCTTTTCTAATCACCCCTCCAACTGATAACCCTTAGAACCCTAAGAGTGACTAGCATCTAATTTCTCCTTACAATATCATCCCTGATTTATTGAATCACACATTAAGGTCATCAAAATACAGGAAATAATCACAGACTAAAGAAGCCCTTGATTGTTCAACAATTTCTCCTTGTCAGCACTTTAGGAAATGTAGAGCAAACAGTATGGAGAATATGCATACTGATGTTAGGGTGTAAAGCATTCACTCACCTTCACTGGTACAGCAGACTTGAGTTGAGCCTTTGCTCTACAGTTTGGACAGTCTTTTGAATGACTAAGTAAAAAACAAGAAAAATAACTTTAATACTTTTCGCTTCATTAACATTCCATTTTATTCTTCTAAGCACTCTTTCAATTATATCAATCAATACAATCACATTTGTGAATCAAACTGAAATAAAATTCTCAAATGTGATTGGTTAGAAGCTCAATTTAAGAACCAATAGGATACAGTCCACAAATTATACCTTTGCAATTGAAGATTGCACATCAATTGTATCAAGGTTCTTTTCTTTGCAAAAACAAGTGAACTAATAAGTTTTTATGAAATAATGACTCTGTTTGACCTATGACTATTTTGTTATTTCTGAATCAAAACATTCTACTATTGTGTGTGGTTGAATGATGTGCTGTCAAATCATTTCAAATGACCAAAAAGATTTACCTTAAACCTTTACACCCAAACATCACTGTGCATATTCTCCATACTGTTCTCTATACATTCCCAAAGGTGCTGACAAGGAGAATTTATTTCACAATCAAATACTTCTTAAGTTGCTGGTTGTTTCCTTTACTCTCACAACTTTAATGTGTGATTTAAGGGTGATATTGTAAGGAGAAATTAGATGCTAATCACCCTTAGAGGTTAAAAAGTTACAGGTTAAGATGACTTAAGAACTAAAAAAATGCTCTGTGATATGGCTTACCAAAGCCATGCAGTCCCTGATACAACCAAAACAGAAAGTGTGTGAGCAAGGCAAAGTGTGTGCCAATACTATCAGTTCACGACAGATACAGCAAAGCAGCTCCTCATTTAAATCTTTCAGGCACTTCTTCAATCTGCTGTCATCTATTACATAAAATACAAATTTACCATGAGTCCTGGCTATGTTACCACTAATACCATAATATTTTCTCCCAGATTTTTGTTAGAGGAATACTTTGCAATTTTGATCAAGAATATACATGTGGTATTAAATCAGAAGTGAGGGGAGTATAACTGGGTACAGGGAAATTTTCAGGGAAGCCTAATGAAATGCTAAAGGGGGGGGGGGTAACCTTACGATGGACTGGCAACCTTTCCACCCAGGGGGGAGTTAAGTGATACTCCTAGTTGTTTCATGCCAAGGAAGCCAGGATGATCTCCCACTGGTTGGGTCGCTTGGCTCAAGTACAGACTTTATCAAAGGGCTTTTTTCTTCACATCCTTTCAATAGACAGAATGCCTTCAGTGGAGAGTTGCATCCTACATTTGTAACATTATTAAGATATAGTTCAGTTTAACTCACTTCTTGGCATTAAATGTACCTTCACTGATGTTTACTTCTTCCTGTGGATCAACTGTTTGATAAACTTCAAAAACCTGAGATTGGAAAAGAATATTACTGGTTTCCATACATGCCACAGAACACATTATGCACTACACTACACTACATGATACCCTGAGAAATTGGTAAATAAACCTGATAAAATGTAAAATTCATCTCTTTTAACCCTTCAACTCCTAGAGGTGATTAAAATATAATCTCTCTCTGTGATGTCCATATGTTATCCAGTAAATAAGAATACATGATACTAAAATTTGTCAGCAGAAGTTGTTATCTTGATCTAAAACCAAACTCTTGTGACTAATTTATGAGAAAATATAAAGCAGCTGGAGAAGAGAATTACCGATCAGATCTTAGGAGTTAAAGAGTTCAAGGTATGTATGCTCTTGGGGTCACATGCTTTTTATCTTGTCATCAAAAGGTTTAAAATTTGCTGAAAATTCAATAGTCCATTTTACAGTTGTGTGCTTGGTTGCCAAGCCTTTGAACAGGAGTGAGGCTAAGGGTGACCTTGTTATGATACAAACCTTGCTGCTTTTGAAATGCAAATTAATTTGTTATCATGCTAACTAGATTCTGGTCTCTAACACAACAAGGTCAGTCCTTCAGCCTCACTCCAAATCAAAGGCTTGGCAACTAAGTACACAACTGTAAAATGGCCTATAATCAATTTGGGCCATCTTGGAAACAATCAAGAACCCTGGCCAAACACACAATTGTTCAATACACATGGGTTAGAAACAGCAGATGCTGAGGATATTGCAAGAAATCCTATCTTTGTGTAGCTAAAAAAGATTACCTAGAGGTGAAGAGAAGTCAGACCTGGGGTCTCACCAGTAGGCTGCCAGTTTGCAAAACAAAATCTAAATCAGTGTTATTTATGAACCAATTTTAAGAACATTTAGAGACAAGTTTTGAAAGATAATTAGTTCCTCTTGGTAATTTCAAAACAGTTAGGTCTGATTATTTAAACAAAGTTTGGCCATTGTTTGACAAAACTGGATCCTAAACAATCCTCAATCATGGATGCACTCAGAACCTCATGTTGAGGATGATACAAGTGCTTAAAGGCTAATTGGCATGCACTGGTTTGTGCAATTGTGGCAGTAACTGCCAACTGCCATGAATATTTACTACACTGCCAGTAGCAACTATTTTACATTGACTAAGAATTGGGCATAACATCAATCGTTTGTTGAAGTTTGGTTAGGAGAGGAGATGGTGGGAGTCCAAGCTAAATACCTACAGTGTGGGTTAAAGTTTAAACACAAAAGGAGCTGAAAAACTTCCTGCTAAAAGTAAAAACACTGGGTACAGAATTTGTTGTTACTGACATGACATAGGAGATGTCATTATGACAAATCCACATTATCATTTTTAAGTGACACTGCACATCAAAAAAACAACCATAAGGATTACTACAGCACTTAATGTTACATATTAGATTCTTTAAAGTGCCCATGACAGGAATGGGTAGTTGTGTTCATTTTTGTTGACATAACATTTATTCCTTCACACTACCCTTGCGAAATGGCTTTTGGAATTCCTAGGAATTCCTAGGAATAAAGGTGTGAATTTTCACGGTAAATTCGAACTGGGAATTCCTAGGAATTCCTAGGAATTCCCAACCATAACAACTCTGGTTCTAAAAACCTAGAAATTCCTAGAAATTCCCAGAAATTCCCAGAAATTCCCAGAAATTCCCAGAAATTCCAAGTTTATAGCCAACAGGACTTGGAATTCCTAGGAATTCCAACTCAGAGAACCAATGACTTTCCCTGAAAAGCTGTAAATCTAAAAAGTTTCTAGCAATTTCTGGGAATTTCTGGGAATTTTTGGGAATTTTTGGGAATGTTTAAGAATT